CGATGGAATTTGGACAAAATAAAAGAACGCAAAAGTTAACAGAGAAAAAAAATAATAAGTCAAGAATGTGAAAGCAACATTCAATAATTAAGGGACACGTTAATTTCTTACATACAATACATGTGTGCAAACATAAATTTTCCTACAGAAAATAATGGCTAAAATGTCTTTCTAGTACCTCAAGCGCAACTTTCATATTTCGAAGATTTGCGTATGTTTTAATCCATTAACGTGCAAGTACGCGCGTCTCGTAATTGAAAGAAAATTATATAAATATATTCGTGTATATCTCTTAACAACTCGAGTTATTTAACCTAATACGATTTGGATATGACAGCGTAGCCTTTGAGGCTTTTGACCAAGTAATCTCGTGTTCGAATCCGGATGGTACCAAATATGAACAGTTGATTAAGCACTTTGCTACGGTAATCATGTGCGAACTTTAAGCCCATGAACTAGCTTTCGTTTGAGAGAGGCTTATAAGTAAATTAAATGATATAAGATCTTTTATCAAACTTCTCCCAACAACTTGCAGTCGTTGGGACTAAATGATTGTAAACGAATGAGTATAAGATCAATATTTGAACAACTTCCAACAACTCAAGTTACCTATGCCAAGTAGTTCTTCCCACGGTAAAAATACTACATATAGAAAAGAAACCAGTTTGTTTTCCATAGTTTAACCCAAAAGATAAATAATAGCCAACTTATAAAAAGAAAACCCTTTCGTCTACAATATATATCATCACTTTGATCAGGTTCCATACAAGACAATTAAGTCCATGATAAAAACAAATTAATCATAAAATTCATTAGACCCTAAATTATCAATCTTTGTACGTTAGTCCCAAAATCTATAAGTATAAGCACTCAATTGACTACAATTTGAAGTTGAGGGACTTGAGTGACCAAGATCGTAATAGTTAAAGCAACTAAGTTCCTTTTTATAACAAAAAAAAAAAACAAAAACAAAGCCTACGTCAAAAGCAAATTATAATTACAACGACCAATATATATAAATAAATAAATAAAAATGCCACCGAAATGGGACCCTTAATTTGTACCTATAAACCACCCAATTTTCGACGCACAAATTCCATCCATTTATAGAGTCAAGATCCAAAATTCACAGTTCACCCAAATCAACCAAAACCCAATTAATTTCCCTCTCTGCCTTCCCCACCCACCAAAATTCCCCAAATCTCTCTGCCCCATCGCCGGCGTCGGAGCTAATTACCACGATGATGAATAATAGCACCACCGCCGCCGCTGCCGCCTCGACCGCCGCCGCCGCGGAGGCGCTCCTCAGCTGGGGGGCGGTGGCGGCCACCGGCGGGTTCGATCTCGAAGAGGCGCTGAAAGCGCCGTGGAATTCGGACCGCCAGATCGCGGACGCCGACAGCCTGGTTGCCGGCATGCCCACCGTGTCCTTCGACGGCGGCGACAACGAGGGGATTATTTGTCCGGTCTGCAGGGAAGGGGTGGCCACCACCGCCGCGCCGGGGAAGAGGGTCCCCTGCTGCGGACACGTGTACCACGCCGATTGCCTCGCCGCCTGGCTCCACCACCGCGATTCCTGCCCGCTCTGCCGCTTCACCATCTCGCGGTTACAGTAAAATCCCGCACCGCCGGCGAGCCGGTTTGTGTTGTTATTAATTAATTTAATTAATGTTACTTACTTCCTATGAATTGATGATTAGTATACGTTAATTAGCTATGGATTTGGTATCGGGACGTGTGAATTGGTCGGGGGCTCTGGTTTGTTAATTACTAATTATTGGGTTGCCCGCACATTGTTTAATAAAATCGAATAAGAATGCTTCTTCCCTTTCTTTCTTCGGCCCAAATGTCCCTTGTTTGAGTGTAATATTACATAACATCACATTAATTCGCTGGTAGAAATAGGATATTTTCAAATTCGATGTAAACGATTGTGAAACCGTACCGAAAGTTGTACTGGAAACGTCAGTGGTATAGTATTTTGTACTAAAACCATGATTGTTCAATCTTTTCTTATCGATAAAACTGCCCACCAATTTGGACATATGGTATCTCTAATATTTTTTATTTTGCTGATCGGTACGGTAGGGTTTCTCAAACATTACTTTATTTATTACTTTATTTATGTATATAAATCATCTTATCTGGTTGAGATTAAGTTGGACCGTCACTAACTAAAAAAAAGTTGAGCATGGGAATCGGTGTCGTGTGTTAGTGTTAAACGTTATGGCACTAAAATTATATAGATATATAGGCCAACGATTGAGTTTTGGTGGACTAACGTGAGAAACTTGGAAACAAATACGTTAGCAATCTAATCAGAGATATTAATTAGGGCACCCTACAATTTTGGAGCAATTGACGATGCATTCGGTCTTATTTGTTATGATTCAAATGTTATTTTGGTACATTTCTTTTTAGTATTTGTAAAGTTCATGAGACCAAAAATCATACCACATTATATTTAATTTGATATGATCTGGTCAGAATGTTGGTTTGCTTCCGTACTGATCAAATCGTCGCACACCCCTGATTCAGGGAGCCAAAAACCTCCTGTAAAATATCAACACACAAGCTTCGTCCTTGCCATGTACATGATCATCCTATCCATATGATATATTCCTACCATAATGTTATTAATATTTTGTATCACCGTCGTATAACAAGGTATAATGTGGCAAAAAAATATTTCGATTGGAGTACTTTTTGTCCTCAATATCAAAATATAATGTCATTATGTACACCATAGTTAATTCGATTTCTTTCGAAACATATGAAATTTTAATTTTAAACTAAAAAAAAGTATGAAATATATTTGGTTCGATGTGAATGGGATCACTGACTGCATCTGTTGTTGTCAGCTTCCTGGAGTTGATTGTGCTAAAAGAAAGGACTTACGAAAGTCAACGTCAAATCGACCCGACTTTGACAATAATAATACCTGTCCTCATTTGTTTGTGGAGATAAAACCTAACAATTTGGGCCACATGCATTAAATGAATTCAACCGAAAGTTGAGCCCACTAGTAATTTATTAGCCTGCTCAACAAGTCAGACGGGTGGGCTGGGCTACGGCTACGGCCTCGCTACATAGTTCGTTTCGTTATGGTTCGCGTTTTAGTGATGGCCAAGTGTTCGATTTTGGTGGTTTTGTTTACCTTTTGATTCCAGAAAGTTCATCAAGTGAAAGTGGTTGTGACCGAATTGAAGAAAATGTTATATGCTTGTAATATTTAGTCGTAATATTTAGATGTATTAAAGACAAAAATAATGAAAGATCATGTTCAACTATGAGGTAGAAAACTCGTGGTCAATCGGAGACTAGATGATCGTGAACATGGTCTTCCAACTGGAAATGAAGTTGCAACTCATATTTTTCGACAATATTGTTGATCCTGGTCAAACACAGATTAAGTGAAACGAGCCTCCTATTAAGCGAAACTTGAATAATATACAGATAAATAGATATAAAAGAAGTAAAAGACAATAACCATTTTAAAAATAACAACTCTAATAATTAATATTGTGCTAAAAGAACGGGCTTATGAAAGTGAACGTCAAATCGGCCCAACTTGTTGACAATAATAATATAATACTTGTCCTCGTTTATTTGTCAAGATGAAACCTAACAATTTGGGCCACATGCATTAATTAATTCAATGGAAAGTTTTAAGGCTTTGAGCCCACGTACCGCAGTTCATTTATTAGCCTGCTGATCAAGTCACTTAGGGCTGGCAACGGAGTTTGTTTCGTTTTGGTTCATGGCCAAGTGTTTTTGGTGGTTTTGTTTACCTTTCGATTCTAGAGATTTCATCAAAGGCAAACCATCCATGCATGGTCGTTCTCCAATCTCCATCTTTCATTTGTTACCTAATTAAGAAACAAACCAATCACCATGAGCACTCCCTTTTTCCTTGCTTAGGATACGGTTATTAACCAATGATAATGAGTAACAAAATCTCAACCATCAGATTTAAGTGAATTCAGAAAATTCAGATCTAAGTGTGGAGAATTAAAGACATTTATTTTCTCTAGTTTTCTTAATCGGCCCTTATCTTCTTCTTTCTAACTCGGATTTCAATTTTTTTTTTTGCACAGATGGAACGAGTTCGTTGTGCTCTACAAAATGAGATAAGTTTTCAATACTTTTCGAGAAAAAAATTTCATGCCTCTCATTACCAACTCCATAGTATATGTTAACTTCTTTGTTCTTAAGTCGTTTTTGAAAATGTTTGCTCAGAACGAACGAGTACATCATGATCTATTGGATCTACAAATTTCTGGGTAAAAAAAATACAGACAAAAATATTACCATACTTGACCACTCTGGTATGGGAGTAGGGGTGGCAGTCGGTCGGTTTTGGTTTAACCGAAAATCCGATTATCGGTTAAATCGAGCCACCCCCTATAGCTGCTGACCACAGATCGTGAGAGAGGTCACGGTTAGCCGACCAACCGACCGGTCGATTTCGGTTTTAGGCTCCGTTTGCCGACCAACCAGAAAACTAGCTTTTCTAACAAAAAAATAATAATAATAATAAAAAATTATGCACCACTCATCTCAATCCTTATCTCATCCTCTCTCCTTCCTTCCTCCACCAGACCACTTCTCTTCTCTCTCCTTCATTCCTCCACCATTTCACACCCACCAAACCACTTCTTCTTCTCTCATTCCTTCCTCCACCATTTCTCATCCCAACACGAAGCAAACAAAGAGGGCGAGGGAGGAGAAATGGTAGTAGTCTCCACCTGGCAAATCTCTGACGCCGAGCACAGCGCCAGCAGCGCCCTGACGGCGTACTCCGTCGCCCTGTCCGAGATCTTGAATATCGTCTTCACCAGGAGCGGAACGGTGACCGCGTGATCCGCAAGCGCCTCGCGTCCAGAGGGGACGCGGCAAAGAAGCTCCATCGCCGCCAGGACGGGCTCCGCGTCGCACTTGTCGAAATCGGGCAGCCTGTCCACCAGCGTCTCTGTCGCGCCAGCGCTCACCGCCTTGTGCTATGTCTGCTTCGCCAGGCACAGCGCGAACATCGCCTTGATCCCGATCTTCAGAGTCAGCGGGTAGGGGATCGGATTCCGCAACATCTCCACAACTCCCTCGAGGATCTCCTCCACCCCGCTCACCGCCGCCGCTCTCAGATCCGAGCACCGCGTCCCGACGACGACCATCTCGACCATCGCCGCGGAATTCACCCGCGCCTCGATCGACGAATGGAACAGCAAATTCGCCAGGAATCCGACCTTGGACGGATCGGAAGCGATCCCGACGCAATCCGCCTCGTCGAGGGGGAACATCAAGAGAGAGCGGACCAAGGAGGGCTCGGCGGAAGGGTTGAGCGGCGAAGGTCGAATGCTTTGGGAGGAGGAGGAAGTCGACTTAGGGTTAGGGAGGAGGAGGATTGAAGCGGGGTCGTTTTGGGGAAAGGGAAGGGGTCGGTTAGCTGGTTAACCGCCGGTTTCCGACCCCGATTAGTCGGCTAGCTGGTTAACTGCCGGTTAGTCGGCTAGCCGAACCTCTTCCCATCTCCACCGCCAACCGAACGACGCAAGCAGAATTGGTTTTTGGTTAGCCGAAAACCGGTCGGTTCAGTTGAAACCGTCCGGTTAACTGCTAACCAGAAACCGTTCTGCCACCCCTATATGGGAGTGGTAACTTGTGGTAAACAATGATGAAAGTTGTAAATGACAGTTAGAATACTCCGACTATCATGTAGTCAACATTTCTACAGTCTTGGTATGTTCATGACATCATGGTACGCTTTCTTACCATATGGTATGCTCCTATTTAATATCATATGGTATTGACTGGTAAAAAATGTCTCAATTTTTTTGTTCTAAAAATATATCAAAGTAAATATCATTTTAAGGAGCACAATTAATCTGATTTATTTGTGCAAAAAAAAAAATTTCAATTTAAAACGAGAGAGAAATCATCAGTTAAAGATTAAAGGAAAAAAGATAAAATGCTTTCCATGAGAGAGAGGAATGCTGATGTGGACGGATTACTCATGGTTACTCACCCTAACCTTACCGACCTATTCTGCTCCCCTTTTTTCCGGATGATGTGTTAGATTTCTCGTGTCACAGGGATGACAATTTGAAACCGCCTCGTCGGGTTTACCCGACCCGACCCGTAGTAACATGGGGCTGGGCACGGGTATCAACTTCTGACCCGCCCCCCTGTTCTTGACTTGTTCTAGGTCAATTTCTTATGCTATCCTTTCATATATCTCATATTTTGGATTTTCGTCAACTAGTAAGACCCGATTTTCAACTAAATAGACTCAATTACCCATTATATTATCACTATAATTCAATCATGAAGTCTTTTCCCCTTCATTTTATCATAAAATGTAAAAAATTTGCTTGTATTTTTTTCAAATATCATGTAAGAGTGGGTCGACCCGCCCCGCCCCACCCCGTAGTAACGTGGGACAGGGCATGGGTATTGAGGTACCCGCCCCGACCCATTGCCATCACTAATTTCACGTCAAACTCCATAAGCAAAGCGAAAGAGAAGGAAAAAGCCTTGCCGCCAAAGGAATCAGAAAATCATTCCACAAATTCATCCTTTTCTCAAACATTCGCATGGTATCAGAGCCTCTGGGTCAACACACCTATCGTGACCTTGTAATGTTTAGTCATGGAGGCTACTCAAGAAGACATTGGCACAAACAACACGAGCTGCTCAACCACCACCACGTCAAGCAATGGATCCGTGTTATGTCAATCCAAACGAAAATCTCTCTCAAGGTATCATCTTTGTCAAACTTGATGGTACTAATTACCATGTATGGAGTAGATCTATACGTAATATTCACAAAACCAAGAAGAAGATTGGGTTCATCAATGGAACACTATCTATCCCTCAACCAACAGATCAAGACTAATGAAGGTTGGGATCAAAGTAATACCAATGTCATGGGTTGAATCTTGAATTCACTAATTGATCCTATCATTGGAGCTGTAATGAATAAAGAGACATCATAAGATCTATGGAGCTCCAAGAACGATATGGAAAAGCATATTTTGTTCATCTTGCTCATGCTACAACCTTGATTTCAACCTGCAAACAGTGCAATAACACTGTTACAAAATATTACAACATATTAAGTGTTTTGTGGACTGAATATATGTATTTTTTTAAAACAACTTCTGCTTGTGAATGTAGTGATACTCCTCACACTATGACTTGTGTTACTGATGCTGCTATCATTGATTCTCAAGAGCAGGATCACTCCATTGACTTTTTATCCTTTGTCTTAATGACAACTTTAAAATGACCAAGAATCAATTGTTGTTGATTGATCCTGCACCAAACCTAAAAGCATCATACAAACATGCTCTCAAACTAGAGAGGCAGATGGCAAGATTAAGGGAATGGCTGGGCCATCGCTGGGCCAGGAACAGATGCTCTCAATTTAAGCATGACAGGCTGAAATTGCAAGAGACGGGCCGATTCGGCTGCCGGTAATAATGGGCCGATCAGCGGGTCTGGGCTGCTTTACGCGACAGTAAGAGCACAGCCAGGAGAAATCCCAAGAACAAATAGGGATGGCAATGGGTCGGGTTGGGTCGGGTTTTGTCAAACCCAAACCCAAACCCATGGGTTTATCTTTGAAAAAAACCCGGGGTAAAACCCACTGGGTTTGAAAAACTCAAACCCAACCCAACCCGTTGGGTATCTGCGGGTTCATGGGTACCCACGGATTTTGTCGTAAAAAATTTACATTACAAGTTCTTATCAAAATTAAAGTCAAATATCAATCTCTCAATACAAATTATCCATATATAAAACACCATTCTAGAAAATTCAAGCAAATCACAAATTAACTATACAAATTGTTCAACACCAATCTAGAAAACTCAAAAAATTGAAGCAAATCACAAATTTTCCATAAATAACATGTTTAATTGAAAGCTTCTTCCTTTCAATTAAGTTTCTTTACTCTCCACTCCATAACATCAACTTGATTCTACACAATTAAAAAGAAAAAATTAGACATGTCTCCACAAACATAAATAAGATTAGTTGTTTAGAATATTAAATATACCGAAAAAATTAATTATATGGGTGGGCGGGTACCCACGGGCCGGGTTTACCTAAACCCAAACCCAACCCGTTGAATAGTGAACGGGTTTAAACCCAAACCCGGCCCAAAACCCGTCAACACGGATTTTACCCGCGTTGACCGGGTTGGGTCGGGTGGGTACCCGTGGGTTCGGGTTTTGTTGCCAAGAACAAACATAGCCACACATACAAATTTCCAGCATGGATGGTCCTTCAAAGCATCGAACAATCCAGCTGAGAAGACTGTCCTTAATTGGGAAAGACTGCAAAAATTTCAGGTACATATCCTTTCCCTTTTCATTTATGGTGAATGCCAATTGCCATGGCTGTTGTTTTATTATGTGCAGCGACACCGACGTCAGGAATCTATTGACTGCTGACGCTGAATTTCCCCTATTTAAACGACGACTGCTCTCGTTGGTCGCCACAAAATAGAAATCGAATAGAAAACGGAGGAAAAACGCAAACTTTTCCACATCCATGGAGAATCAGCAGCACCAAGGAAGAAATGGCGCCGCCGCCGCCGCTCCTACCGCCGAGAATCGCTTCTCCGTGTTGAACTGCATCGATCTCTCCAGCCCGGACACTCAAAGTTCGGTTTCGTTGCTCAAGCAGGTTCCTTTTTTTGTGTTTTTTTTCTTTCTTCTTCCGCATCGCGTTGGGACTTTTCTGGGTTCTTTCGGGTTTCTGTTCATCCTTCAATGGGTGTGTTTTTCTTTTCTTAATTGAAACAGGCGTGCTTGGATTGTGGGTTTTTCTACGTAGTGAATCACGGGATAAGCCAGGAATTCATGGCGGAGGTGTTTGCTCAGAGCAAGAAGTTCTTTGAATTGCCGGCCAAGGAGAAGATGAAGGTGTTGAGGAATGAGAAGCATCGAGGGTACACTCCGGAGCTGGACGAGCTATTGGATCCTGAGAATCAAGTTCATGGTTAGTAGGCTTTTTATTGTTTTGTTTTGTTCTCTTCGATTTGTTGTTTTCCTGAAAAAAGATTCGGTTTTGAATGATGATTTGAGGATGGGGAAGCAAATGATGTCTGTTTTGGATTATTTGTTAGTAGGAGATTATAAGGAAGGGTATTACATTGGAGTAGAAGTCCCTGAAGATGATCCTGAAGCAGAGAAACCATTTTATGGGCCCAATGTTTGGCCATCATCAGGTTCTTTTCAACCCAAGTTCTTGCCATTGTTTACCTCTTGTTCCCCCCTTTGAATTTTAAACTGGTGTCTTGTCAATAGAGGTTTTGCCCGGTTGGAGAGAAACAATGGAGAAGTTCCACCAGCAAGCTCTGTAAGCTTTGTCATTTCTCTGAAGATCTTGCTCGTTGGAATGAACTTTTGGGCCTGACTATATGATTCTCATATGCTGTGTTTTGTTTTTCGTTTGCCGATATAGAGAGGTAGCAAGAGCAGTTGCGAGAATCATAGCTCTTGCGCTTGATCTAGAAGCTGATTTCTTTGATAAACCCGAGATGCTTGGTCACCCCATTGCAGTAATGAGACTGCTGCATTATGGAGGTAATGAGGTTTATGGCTACTTATTGCTGTGTTGATCCCACCATTGGATGATCACTTAACCGATTCGTACATTCTTCAATAGTTTTTCTTTCCTTTTTTTATGTTATTTTGTCACTTATTAGCCTCGTGATGGTCCAGGTCAGGTGTCTGATCCCTCAAAGGGATTATATGGAGCTGGAGCCCATTCTGACTATGGTTTGATTACCCTTCTAGCCACAGATGACGTCTATGGACTCCAAGTACGAATTCGAGTTAATTTGAGATACCTTACCAGTGAATCGAACTGGTTTGTGAGGTTAGTCGGTATTGATTTGAACTTCCTGCAGATATGCAAGAATAAGGATGCTCAACCTCAAGTGTGGGAATATGTTGCACCAATGCAAGGGTGAGTTCGTGTCTGTTTATTGATGCTGATAGTTTGTTGGACTAGCCTACTCCTGCGGTTGATTATGACATTGTAGGATCTGCAGTTGGTTGAGGATACTGATATATTTTCATTTCATGCTTAACAGAGCTTTTGTTGTGAATCTTGGTGACATGTTGGAGAGGTGGAGCAACTGCATTTTCAAGTAAATTCTCGTATCTCAGGCTTTGCTGCATTACAAATTTGTCAAGTCGCAATACCATTCCCTGTGACAACTGTAGAGTGTAAACTAAAATAGATTTGGCAATCAATTGATGGAGAGCATATTTCTACCGTATATTGCTTGTATATCCATGAAGCAAACCAGTGGTGTCCATAACTTCCTTATATTATCTTGGTGATGCATTCTAATCGTGACTTTTCGCCCTTTGTTAACCATTTTTGGCTCTGCAGATCCACATTACATAGAGTTCTAGGAAATGGTCAGGAGAGATATTCCGTAAGCCTTCTTTTTATATGTTGTACTTCGGTGTTTTTTCTTTCCCTTTTCCCAATTTGGTTGATGGTATGTGAAAAACATTCTGGCTGCTCTTCCAAATAAATTGATGAAATGGTCACTGTGATTACAGATTGCATACTTTGCGGAACCAAGTCATGATTGTCTAGTCGAATGCTTGCCTACATGTAAATCAGAGAAGAATCCTCCCAAGTAAGTTAATAACTCCATCTTTGTCTGCATCCCTTAAAGGATCAATTTTAGGGTAGTCTGAAGATAGCAAGATTTTCATCGTTTCAACCATCGATTAAACTTGTGCCCTGCTCTAGATGGGTTTCGTTCTTCTAACGCTGTGAAAACCAAACCGATGATGATATGCAGGTTTCCGCCAATCACATGCAGCACATACCTGAGCCAACGGTACAAGGATACTCATGCCGATTTGAGCGTTTATAACCAGAAGCAACAACATACCTGACTTACTTTTCTGTCCACGAAACTAGCACTCCTCGTATAGTCATATTCCTCTCATCTTACTGGAGAATAAGAAAGGCAAGTTTGTTGCCTGTAGGCCAAGGCTCGGCTGCAGAAGAAGCTCCCGAGTCATGCCCTACCAGATGATGTTACTTGTTGTACAAGTTTATACTACGCAGTCACTTTAGTTAAAAGCTGAACCATAAGCTTCCCAAATCAATCCTCTGGCTCTTCATAGTTAATTCGTTTGCTCGGTATCTCTACTCGGTACTCAACTGGTCATGTGAAGAAAAAGGAACAGCTTGTTTCGTTTCTTTGTTTTGGTGCAGTAGCGAGTGTATCAATCCGCCTGCCTACTTTCTTTGCACGTAATTATCGAAGAGATATTGAGGAGTTTTGGGATTGCATTCGAATGGTTTAGTGTGTACATAGAAAGTTATTGCCTTCAAGTGTTCAAGTTAAGATTGTGAACCAAATCAGAGATTGCAGAGGCCAGAAGGTGAAGAGATAATGACAATGGCGAATTTATTGTGTTACCAGTAATCCCGTTGTTTTTTCCACTTTACTTCACCAAAGTGATGGGCACTGGTCAGGATCAACTTGCATACCAGAGTTAAGAAAATAGAAGAACAGAAGAACGACTTCATAACAAAACCCACGAACAATTCTTTAATTCAGAGAACATAGTTAACCCAAAATCTCCCCTGCTCCCCATAAAGTTTTAAAGTAATACCAACAGGACCATGTCTAATCTAAATAGATAGAGCCTCACTCCCAGAACAATTTCTCAGCAGAAAAGAGAACACAAAATGAATAAGCACACCTCTATACCACCTAATAACGCCAGGCCAGAATCAGCAGCAAAATGATAGTTAAACTCAAACAGCAAGCCGAATCCATACCCTTCCTGCAAGATTAGAGAAAAGCCATGCACATATATCATCGGTCAAGAGAAAACAGCAACATAAAAGCTAACCAGATAGAAGAAGAAAACATTGTAGGAACTAGAATGTGCAGCCTGCAAACCTCTAAATGCCTATTATCTTCGATCTGTTTTCCCGATGGAGCGCTTCCCAGAGAACAGGTGCTTCGGTCTAAGCGTCGGGATAACTCTATCTGCCTCACCACGCCGAGCATCCTTGTTCCTCTTCTTGGTAGCATTCCTGGCCATTGTAACAGCTTTCATCTTCTGAGCAGAGTCCTTGAACCCTTCTCCAGGTACAACCTCCCCAAGAGGCCGCTGAGACAACACTGACATCGACCTCGATCTCAGCCTCAGCTTCTTCTTGTTATCCAAACCACCATCGATCTCCATTACATCCTCACCATCCCCACCAACAGACCTCTCTCTCTTCCTTCCTTTCCTGGAGACAGACCTGCTCCTAGCACGTTCGATAGCACGAGAAGGATCGATCCCCAAGCTTGACAGCTGCCTTCCCATTCTCTCAGTAGTGAACTTCCTGTCCTTGTCAAATTTCCTAGGCACAGTTGGCCGACTTTCTGCAGTGCTCTTCTTGATCCTATGCTTTTGGATCAACAGCTTCTTCCTCTTCCTGATTTCTTGCAGGTCTTTTTCAGCCTCGGCAGTAAAATCTTCATCCTCCATCTCAAAGTCACCACCATCTTCCTCTACTGCTGTTTCTTCACGTTCCAGCTCCTCAACCCTCTGCAAGATATCCGGATCAATGAAATCATACACATTATGGCCATCGAGGAACTCGGGCAATATGTCCAGCTTCCAATCGTCATCCGCTAGAATGTAGTGCTTCCTCAAGCTGGCAGAGTACACACCAGCACCACCATTCTCATTTTCGATATCCTTCTCGGTTTTTCTCTCCTCATGTGCTGCCTCTTCTGCTCTGGCTTCCAAAACTGCTTGGGGTATGCAGACTGGCCTCTCCTTTTGGTCACGCGGCTTTGGCATTGCTACATGGAAGCGATTCAACACGGTAGGCATCTTCTTGGATTTCATCTTACGCTCCGATCGCTGATCCAGCAGCCTCTGGCAAGCTGCATTCTTTACTGCCATCACGCCTTCGTCGGTTATCGTGCTCATGGTCAGGAGCACATCCTGGTCATTAGCAGCTTCACCTCCTTGACCAGGGATAGTCTTCAGTGCTGCGGATTTCATCTCCATGACAAGCTTCAGGTCTTCTCCACTCAGTCCTTCCAGGGTCTGCAAATCTGTTTTGTTGCAGACAATGAGCACAGGGTTGTTCCTGAACATCATCTTGATGCTGTGGAATAATGCTGCTTGTTGAGAGATGCTGTAGCCACACGAGCCCGATAGGTCCAAGAAGAACAAGATAGCGGCATGGAGATTCACGAGAGCTGTAACGCTGCACATCTCGATGATGTTCCTATCCTCAAGAGGCCTGTCCAAGAGCCCCGGTGTATCGATCACCTGATACCTCAGGTACTTGTAGTCCGTATGCCCCACAAAGAGCGATTTCGTGGTGAAAGCATATGGCTGGACCTCCACATCAGCCCTGGTGATCTTGTTCAAGAAAGAGCTCTTCCCAACATTGGGGCACCCACAAATCAAGATCGTCGGAGCGCCCGTGTTGATCGAGGGAAGCCTCGCCATGTGCTGCCTGACATGTTCGAGGTAAGCCAAGCTCGGCCCAATGCGCTTGGTCACAGTACACATTCGGCCAAGTGCTGCACGCTTCAACGACTTGCACCGGTAGAGTGAGTCCCCATATTTCAAGAGCTTCACATAGTCTTCGCGTATCCTCTTGATGAGATTTCTCGCTGTGTTGAGCTGCCCGAGTGCGAGTTTGTAGTGATCCTTGTTGTAGAGGACGTGGAGGAGGTCGCCGTAAAAGGGATGGATATCTTCTACTCGAGGGAAGTCCTCAATGGTTTTCGAGAGCTTATCGGTGAAGTTGGTTTCGGTGAACTTCACCTTTCGCATGTAGAACTGGCGGACGCGGGAAATTGCATTCCCCTTGTGGATCACCGTAGGGGTCTGGCGCTGAGTGCGAGAGAGAACGATGTCGATCAAGTCGTTCCCAGTTGGGACGACAGTGATCTTCTTGAAATCGTATTGAGCCATGTAATCTGCAACAACAAGCAGAATGGATTTCAACCAACGTGGCATCGAAACAGACATATATTGATTTCATTGGAACGACCAGAGAATTATGGCACACCAAAACTGCACCCTAGCTTTAGGATCTTGTTCATAAGAATATCAATCAACAAAATACTTGAAACCAACCAGATTGCGGGGAAGCCGGAATGTGGCGGAGCCGCGGAGGGGAGGACTGGGAACTGGGAATGCTGGCGACTGCGTCGCGTCGCGCGTCGGCGAGGGAAGGGAGAGACGAGAGTCGGGGATGGCTGGGGAAGCGCGCTCGTCGTCGCCGTCGCCGTCGCCGTCGCCGCCAGCAGAAGGAGAGGAAGACCAGAAGAGGAGAGCTGGAGAGGTCAGGCGCGGCGGGTCTCGAAAAAAACGAAAAGAGCAGAGGAGGCGGGTCGCTGGCCTGGGTAGGGTTTTTACTTTATAGGGTTTGGGAGGCCCCAGGCAGCAAAACGCAGCGCAGCGGCAGAACCAGAGGGTAGTGAATTGTCCATTTTATCGTCCTAGTTGGTAGTCAAAAGAGTTACAGAGAACTTGGAAGAAAAAAAGAAGATGATAACATGATAGCAGCATTCCTTTTAATCCGCGATAAATTGTCGAGAAAGATAAATTGACGAGATGATGCGTCCGACGATATTTGACTGCATGTGAGGTCATTGCTAGAAAATCCCTAAAAAAGCAATGTTATCATAACCGAACCGGAGCATGACCCGGTAATACGAACGGTTCGCACTTTAGTGGTCCAACCAACATTAGACCGTTTAAAAACCGTTAAAGAACCCGTACCTAATAAACTTTATCAGTATAAATAGTGGACATTTCTTAATTAGAGCTCATCTCTTTCCTTCGAAATTGTGAAATGGAAATAAAGATTCAATTTGAGAGCCCGACGTTTTTAGTTTATTTCACTTTTCAATTTTCTATAATTTTTTTAATTAAATTTAATGGCTGAATGGCAAAAACCGGACGAGCGGCTCGATCGGCTCGAACGGTTAACTGCCTCGACCGCTCGCCAACCGCTACATAAAATCGGAGTGGCTTTTAAACTATTTCGAGCCAGTTTTATGACCGAGTGCCGGTTTTACCGGTCGGGCCGAGCGGCTCGGCTTTAATAACACTGCTCAAAAGCTTCGATCTTGTTGGTTTGCTGGTTCTATCATTTCAGCTTTGTTTATGCAGAATTTGATGCTTGAATATGGTCTCGGACTTTCAGTAATTGTGGGGGTGAAAAAAACGCACTCATAAGTTTGGATTTCTCTCATTCTGAATATACAGACAACAGAAAAAGCAAGCGAATCCTAATACACAATGACTAAAGGAAGATCAATCGATACAACAAGGAAACAAAAACCAAAGAAAGAAATAAAGACGGAGACAGAATTTCCTATTTCTAACAAGAAGAAATTCACTCTTTATTATTTTATTGCGTGCTCCAGAAGGCAGAAGCAGCAGCAGCAGAGCAGGGTTTCGTTCATGGCTTCCAAACTAAGCGAGCTTGGTTTCAACGGTAGTTCCTGTAGACAGGGCTGTACATGCAGCTCTCCGCGTACTTCACCAGGTTGGCCGGACGGGGGAGCCTGCTGGCCAGTCCAAGCTCGTAAGCCTTGGCGGCGACCTTAGCAGCAATCTCGGCGGAGATCTTCCTGATCTTGGAGAAAGGCGGGTAGATCAGCCCCTTCTCGTACTCGGCATCAGTCACTTGCTCTGCCAATGCCTCGGCTGTAACCACACAAAAAGGAATCAGCAAAACCATAACAGTATTTTTTTTGTTATAGGAAGACTCATCATCTACCATATGTTTGTGTGCTAGAGGTATCAAGCAACTTACAAGCTGCGAGGAGCATGTCGTCGTGGACGCGAATGGCGCCAGACATGACAACTCCCAGCCCGAATCCGGGGAAGATGTATGCGTTGTTGCCCTGAACGTTCACGACAGAAAGAAGAACGTCATCTCAGTAGTAAGGAAGTAGTAAACTAAGGAACAGAACTAAGGAAGTAGTAAACTAACCTGGCCGGGGACGAAAACTTTGCCCTCGTATTCGACGGGATCGAATGGACTCCCGCTAGCGAAAATGGCTTTGCCCTGTTAAAGTAACATGAAGGCACGTTAGTTATCATGCTGAACAAAGATGCAGAACTGTAATGACTTCCCCTGTTTCTTTTTTTTTATATAATTTGTTTACCTTACTCCAGGAGTATGCTTCTTCGGCAGTACACTCGGCTTGTGAAGTTGGGTTGGAGAGAGCCATGATGAGAGGTCTCTGCACATGGTTCAAAATGGAAGCAGTCAAGGGTTTTGTACTGGTTGATTGATCACATTGTTGCAGATTCAACAGGCAGTCTAATATGAGAGAGCAAAATACCTCATTGAAGGAAGACATGGCTTCAACGACTTCCTTTGTGAATGTTTTGCCCATTCCAGATGCTCCAATCAGAACCGTTGGTTTGAGTGCCTGGATAATCAGAAAATAAAATCTGAGAATTGCTGGAAAAGGATGAAAAAGTTGAACTGATTTTTACTCAACCGAAGATATTCGCTTTCATACGTTGACAGCTTCCAAGAGTGTCTTGACAGGCTCATGATCATGTGCCCATGGCTGCTTGAAGTGTTGAAGTGATTCGAAGCGGGATTTCACGATTAAACCCTGTCAGGAAAAAAGATAGTGGATTTGGATTAAGCTAAATTCTCAGTTTGCTGATTGATTAAGTTGCATGCAATCTTGAGAGTTGGCATTTCCCAACTCACCTTTGAGTCCACCAAGTAGATCCTTTTGCGGCACTCTTCCAAAGGAGTATTTGTCTGGAAAAGGGCACAATTATCCCAGTGAGTGAAACGTCACTAGTGCAATGTTAGATAGCATAATAACCAAAAAAGAGACCACGGGAAGGTATAAACAGTAGTGACATACTCGCTTTGACATCTCGAGAGCTATAAGCTCGGCTATGCCGGTTCCAGCCTGCAAAATTATAATGTAAAAACAGGTAAGCTCTTCTGGTTAGGACTGATAAAAAGCATGCCGGTTCTCAGAATCATTGATTAATCTTACTTCTCCGGCACCCAGGAAGAGGAACTTGTGATCAGCGAGGGAGCCACCAAGCACCCTCAATGCTGAAACAACTCCAGAAAGAACCACAGAGGCTGTCCCCTGCAACAATCAGGAGGTAAGATGTTAAGCTGCAGCATAAGAAAAATGTAAAGACAAGACTAAATTAACCGAAAAGTTGTTGGGAGAAACCAAACCTGGATATCATCATTGAAGACAAGGTGACTTGTCCTGTACTTTGCAAGCAGTTCGAAAGCGTTGTGGTTGGCAAAATCTTCAAACTGAAGAATGTTGCAGATATTTAGCATACATCAAGGGAAATATATAAGAAATTTGGACTGACAATTTTCGAATAAGGTATGGTTACAAACCTGAATAAGAACTTTTTCTCCGTAGCACTGCTTTACGGCTGACATGAACTCATGAAGAAGTTCAGAATATTCCTGAAAGCAAGAGTTACACAGAGACATTAGCTAATCGATAGCCAAGAAACTCCAGACCTGAATTCTAATCAAGAGAGTGGACTGTACCTGGCCAGTAGCCCTCTTCTGTTTAAGTCCAATGTAGAATTCATCATTCAGCAATTTCTCATTGTTTGTTCCAACATCAATGGTAATAGGTAAACACTACAAACAATAAACATTCTCAATTAGCTACCAAAGAAGTATAGTACAAAACAATAAACAATAAACACCCTAGTTTTAATTTTCCAATCAACCATAACTAGGGTATAATTTCTGAAAAATTCTTACTGCAGAAGGGCGAATTCCTCCAAGCGCGGTGTAAAGAGACAATTTTCCAACAGGAATACCCATCCCCTGTTACAAAGTTCACCATTCATCAGATTTCACTTGCATACAAAACATACGAAGCAAGGAAACCAAAGCTCCATTAAACAAAATGCTTTTACGTGTGCTCGCACTTGCTAAATCTCAGTACTGAAACTAACCTGACATCCAAGATCTCCGAGTCCCAAAATCCTTTCACCATCAGTTACAACAATGACTTGAATGCTCCTCTCAGGCCAGTTCTTCAACACATCAAGAACTCTCCCCCTGAAATCAATCACATTTTCGTTAAGGAACATAAAGATTCAACTAGCATAACCATATCACTTATTCACACAAATGGGTCATAATGTCCATACTTCTCTTTCAAGCTGATGTATAAACCCTGCGGGCGCCTGAAAATGCTGCCGTACTTCTGGCAAGCTTCCCCGACTGTGGGAGTGTAGACAACTGGCAGCAATTCCTCCACATTGTCGATCAAAAGCTTATAGAACAGCCTTTCGTTCCTCTCCTGTTAATCGCGCATACCAATCCGTATGAGCGTATTTCAATTTGAAGCCACACTACAGGGAATAGAACAACCAGAAAGAAAAGCTACCTCGAGTTCCATCATAGCCATGTACTTCTGGATCGGCAGCTGGTACTGTCGAATCGAGTTCATCAGTTTCTTCTCCTGAAGCTGCTGCGACAGAACCACCGGCGGCAGAAGGCCGGACAAGTAGTGAGCATCTCTCTCCTTCTCGGTGAAGGCCAGCCCCTTGTTATGGCGAGGATCTCTCAGCAGTGAGTATCCACTGCAAAAATCAAACAAATCCAAACAACAAAAAATTCAGTAACCACACAATCTCCAGAACCACGCCACAGAACTTAATTGGACTCCATTTTCATGCTGTGAGATCACAGATCAAAGGTGTTCCCGAAATCAACGTAGGAATTCAAATTTGCGTATATGCGAGAAAGAAATGAAATCTCCGGTTCAGTAACGACTAACGAGCCGATACTCCGATTCGCGAAAAGAAAGCGCAAAAAAACAGAGATCGACAGCTGATCGTCAACTTGCAGGGAGCAAAAGCCGGCTATATTTCAGATCAGTAACCTAACCGGCGATCAGCCCGAACTTGCAGGAACAAAGGGAATCAAAAGAGAGCAAGCAGGAAGCTCA